TTCAAGTTGTGATGGCTTGAAGAAACAACATCTCCTGTAGGCTCATGTGTGAACTCTTGGTCCCCAGGCTATTTTGAGGAAGTGATGGGATATTTAGGAGGTGAAGCCTCGAAGGAGGTGTGAGTCACTAGTGGTGGGCTTTGAGAATGTATAACCTCCCCCAATTCCAGTTCATCCTCTCAGCAGTGTGGTTGAAATGGAATCTTTCGGCTTCCTGCTCTAGGCACCTGTTGTCATGCCTCCTATAACATTATGGACTCTCTCTAAATGGACTCACGGGCAAAATAAATGCTTTCTTCCATAAGGCACTTTTGGTCATGGTATTTTATTACAACAACAAAATAGCTAATATAGAAGAATAAAAAAAAGTATCATTTTTATCTTTGTTTCTTTGAGAGAGGTGTGTGTGTGTGTGTGTGTGTGTGTGTGTGTGTGTGTGTGTGTTTGCAATGTGTGTGAAGTAGGGTGTACAATTATCACTATATTTTTGTGGAATTTGTTTTCTCTTTTCTTACAGATGTAGTTTCAGGGGATTGAACTTAGGCCATCATGCTTGACCCACTAGTGACTTTAGTCACTAAGCCATCTAGCTCAGTGACCTTCTTTCAATCTCTGTTAATATTATATCCATCAGCTTTTAAAAATGTTACCTTGCATAATTTTAATTGTTTCACACTAAATGGTAGTCAGTGACATATTCTTGGTATATTATATGACAAATAAGGATTTGATAGTTGGCCTAACAGTAGGTTAAGTAGTAAATTAAATTCAGAGTATTTATTCCACACTTCTGAAAGTGTCCATTGAGTAGATTGCGTTTTTGTGCTACATCACTGAGGCTCTTCAGTGAAGTATGAGGTCACTGTCTTTAGGTAAACATATGGGTTCAAATAACTGGAATACGATGTTGAACATAAGGATGCTGTAGGACCCAGGGAAAAGGAAGGACTGGATGCTGAAAAGTTTCCCTAGATAAGGAGCATTCAACTCCTCCCTGTGGCCTCAGCTTTCAGCCACAAAAATCCTACCTAACATGTTAGAACAACCTCTAAACCTCTCTCTATCTTGACTACATTGTTCATTTATTTTAAAGGTACTGTCCTTTTCAATCTCAGAATTACTTGCAATATCCTGAGCTCACTGAGAAAACAGTCTACTAAATTGAGAAATACATAAAAGGATACAATTTTTGAGGTAGTTTCTAAATGTTCTCTTTTCATCTGGGCTGATTTGGAGATAAAGCCATTACATGTATATTCTGAACCACAGCATTGTCCTGTATGTAAAGAGCATTTAAAGGTCACTAATGCATCGTAATCACAATATGATGGTACAGCTCCAGAGCCCTAATTCATGCTGCATTCCTGGCTAACACATGGTTAAGCCAACTTTGTTTCAGACACAAATCCATGATACTTGTTGTCAATCAGTAAGTGATGGATATCCATTTCTACCAGCATTCTCATTTCTGCACAAACGGGTGGCATGTTATTACTCAGTGACTTGTTCCTTTAATAGACATAGAATTATACAAATTAAGATTAATACTTGCGCTTTTAGCATCTTTTTCTTATGTGTATGTACAGTATATAATGTAAATTAGTTATCACCTTAGATCAAGATTTTTAAAATTAAAAAATGAATTATTTCTAGAATAGCATTTGCTCATTTTTCATTAGAAAAAAATTGTCATCACATTGTAAAGAGATTATTTTCTAGTCTTTAGAGAACACATTTACTTGGGATCTTTTGACAACATAAAATGAAACCCTAAAGATTTAGCAAAGTAATTTTGTTTAAATAAAGGCACCATTTTGGTCTCTGGTGTTTGGTGTTCAAATAATCATGTGAGCTTGTAAAATATGTGACAGGATTTTAACATACCTTTCACTTGTTTGCAAGCAAGAGATAAATTTGAAAAGTAAAGAAGGATGAAGCCCAAAGTAAAAGTAAGATGTTATGTAGATTGTCGTGACAAAGCTTCATATAATGCATTGCTGCAGTTAGTGCATTTTTATAAGTCTGGCAGTTCTGCTGAAATAATCAGCTGCTTCTTTAGGTAAGATAGATTGGAATGCTTTCTGAAGATAATTTGGAATAATGATGTGTGTGATTTTTTTTAACTTTTCCATGGAGCAAAAAAATATGCCAAAATGCCAAAATATCCTAAAGACCTGACATAGCATTTCTACCTTATGCTGATAAGAAAATTGGACCAATTTATTTGCAGATTTTATAGGGCTTGGCTAGGGCTATGGAACATAGCACCCTCATGACCTTTGTCTGCCTTTATGAATGTGCTAGTTGGCATGGAAAGCATTACCAAAATGCCTACTGTATTCTAGGTTTACTTTGGAACTATCCAGATGAATAATGCAAAAATGTATTTATTAAATTGATAAGCAAGGCATACGTATATAAAATAAACAGGTTTGGAGCCATTTGCTTTTTTATTAAAAATTTGAAAATAAAATATGACATCACATTCTCCCTTCCTTTTCTTCCCTCTGATCCCTCAAACATCCCCTTTTTGCACCTCTTCTTAACCTCCAGCTCCATTTCAAATTGACGGTTTTTATTTGTTTGATTACTGTCATACATACATACATACATACATGAACACAACTCTCTGAGTTCTTTTAGTGTGGTCTGTGTGTCTATAAATTCAGCACCAGACACTCTGTACTGGATACCCTGTTAAAGGCTCATCTCTGGGAGAAGCTCATGTGCCCTTTCTCAGCAGTCATTAGCTATCGGTAGTTCTGTTTTGGTGTGGGACCCAGTTAAATATCCCCCTTCTGTGTTAGCATGTCTACTGACATTGTTCAGATCCTATTTCGGAAACAGTGTTGCTGCGGTATTATGTTTTGGCTGCCATATTGTCAAAGTATCTGGAGGGTACCTTCCTTGTCATTTCTAGGAGACACAATCTCATAGCAGACTTCCTGGTCCTCTGGCTTTTATAGTGTTTCTACCATCTCTTCAGAGCTTTTGTGCAGAAGTTTTATTGTAGATGTATCCATTGTGACCTGGCTAACAATATTTAATTTATCTATGCATTATGACAACACATCAAAGACATTTTCTGAACCAAAGGACATTTAGAGTACTTCTCTATGTACTTACTATATAGTGTATATACTATATATATACATATATTATATATAATTAAGTATATATATAGATACATAAACTTACATAGTATATATAAATAAGTATATATACCTACTTACGTATAAGGTATATATATATATATTTATTTATATAATATACTATATTATATGTGAATATATAATATACTTACTATATAGTAAGTCTGCTTATTGCTGTTTTGATATATATAATAAAATACAAGGCACATGCACATGGAGACTTAAAATACATTTACACAGGGTCATTTTCCTCCTTTCCAAAAGAAATGAAGACAAAAATCAATGTCTCCATTCAATGATTCTATTAATGGTGCAGACAACAGACAGTAGACTATCATTTAATTCTAAATGACACTTAATTGAAAAGTGCTTTTGATACTACTCAGGGCAGAGAAGTGATGCCAAAGAAATAGGAAAAACAACCTCTGGAAGGAAGTAGCAATCATGTCCATGAAGTATGTGCCGTGTTTCTTGTAGAGTAGCCATAAATTACCAAACATGTGTGCTTATCCCCAGTAGTATCTGTGTGGCAAAGAAAAACTTCCCAGGGGATGAAAGTAACACCTAGCACTTAAAGTGAGCTGTGTTTGTGGAAGGAAAGAACCAAAATAAGACCTGTGCATCCAAGGTATCAAATATTTACTCTTAAAAAAACAAAATATCGTTTACCTAAATGAAGTCGGGCTGGAAGGTCTTTGCACAGTAGATAAGGTGTACTAAAGACTGAACTTTTCTTCTTGCTATGAGAGATGTGTTTAGCTTCTAGAGCCAAGTGAACAGCCCATGGATTCCAAATGTCTCCTCCCTATGCACGGGTATGAGCAGCCTGTTTCCTCGAGGAAACTTGTATTTTATTTGACTAAAATAATAAAGGGGAATGTGTTGTTTTAATTGTTCTCCTGTCAAGGTCTTTGAAATTTCTGCCCTTTTCTTGTGCCGCTGAGTGTTGAGCAGCTGGCTATGCAGATGTGAACAGAACTTGGGTCCCTTTTCCTGTAGGGCAGACATACATCTTGCCATAGGAATATATAGAAAAAGTGGGGTTTTTCTTTTTGTGTGTGTGTGTGTGTGTGTGTGTGTGTGTTTTTTTTCCAGTCCAACTTTTCAAACATAAGATTCAAGGAAAACAATGCATTTTTCCATGACTCACTCCTTCCTCCAACTCAATACACACAGATTTTGCCATTTATACTAGCCTTTGGCATTTATCTTCTTTGAGTTAGGAGTATAAATCTGTTTTCTTTATCTCCTATGAAAGAAATATCACTTTATTTAATATGATGAGAAATGTTGATAGGAAACTCAGTCACCCTCAAGAAGCCTGTCACTCTCAGCAGACAGAACCTAGGGCATGGGCATGTCACGTGCTTTGGGGTCACAGGCGAACTCTGAGATCTGGTCTAGTCTTCTAAATATGAAGCATAACTCACAGGTCATGCCTATGGAAGAATAAACTCAGTTTGAGATGCAGTGGAAGTGACACAGCATCAATTGAACAATTCTCAAAAATACCTAAGCAGATGGAATTTTGTGTGAATGACCTTTTCCTTCACACGAAGAAAATAATCCAGTGGGAAGTCAATAATCATTTAACTTTACTGGGTTGTGTGACTCACTTTCCAGTTGTTTGTTGCTGAATCAAATCTAATATGATGACATTTACACACCGGGTGGTGATTGGCTCTTAAAGAAAACGGTAGAAATACTTGGCACTCTCAGAAATATCATGACAATGATTTATGATGCCTGTAATTATTTGTCTTGATGGGCCTTGTCGAATCCTGTCATGCAGAGAGTGAAATCAAACAGAAATGGCGAGACACTAACGGGATTATTCTGCTCTGGTAGATGTGTGGTAGAAGACAAAAACTCAAAAGTGGCCTGGTTGAACCGCTCTGGCATCATCTTCGCTGGACATGACAAGTGGTCTCTGGATCCTCGGGTTGAGCTGGAGAAACGCCATTCTCTGGAATACAGCCTTCGAATCCAGAAGGTGGATGTCTATGACGAGGGATCCTACACATGCTCAGTTCAGACACAGCATGAGCCCAAGACCTCCCAAGTTTACTTGATCGTGCAAGGTAAGAAAAAGGAGGGATAGCAAAGTGAGCCATGGGGAGTGGCTGTGATGTACAAAGCATTTGCAAAGTTATTTCTAAAAAAAATATATTGTATTTTAGTATATATGTATTTTTTTCAAATATGACTGATTTGAAAAGAAAAAAAAAAAACTAGTAAGAGCCATGTGCCAATCTGCTGGTGATATCTTTTTTATTTCTTTTTCTAGCTTTGATTAAGAAAAACATACAGCAAAATGACAGCTGTCTTAACATAAGTGTACACAATATTTAAATTCTTAGGAAGTTCTTTTTATTTCATTAAGATGCTTTGCTGAATTTAAGAAAGCATTTTTTCCTACCTTGGTCCTAAAAATCAGTATTAATTATTTGTTTATGTGCTAGTAAAAGATTTTTAGAAAAATAAAATTCCTAGGGGCTTTGATCCCTTCTCACCTGGTTGCCTTTCTTTGTGGCTTGTATCTTTATTTAATGAATTATTGTAAGTCAGTCTAAAGATCAGGCACTGTGAAGTCATAGGGGAAATTTTGTTTCTAGATTGGGGTTTCCCAGGGCACATCTGACTCATGACTTTAAAGCATTAAAAATCTTAAATAGCATACATATATTCCCATACACTGTGGCTTTCTTGGATCCCCTTTCCCTTGAAAACAAAGCTGATTACTTACACAATCTTATTGCAGGCAAAGTCAAGTCTCCAGCCTTTTCCATCCATCTATCAGGAAAGACCTAAGCGCTGACAAGTATTAAGGTTGTTTTCCTGTATTTTTGATTTACAATTTTATGCAAATTTAATGCAAATTAAGCATGGCCTTAGGGTTCCTGTCAATTTTCCAAATGCAGTCAGTGGTGTGGCAAAGTTGGGCTGCAGCTACTGTAAATGTGTTAGGGAAGTGGTAATTGTAGCATTTAAAGTAATGCCTTCCCTGCTTTTCTCACTAATAAACTGAAACTAAGAGAAAACGTATCAAAGTCCACATGGTACAAGAGTGCTTCAGTCATGTGACTTCCATAGCGGTCCATTTGCAAATGGCTAACAGCTTCATTTTACTCTTTGGAAAAGGCTTTTCTATGATTTACAAAATTCCATATATTCATGTTTTCTTGCAGATTAGTGGTGAGTACTTGAGCCAGAGAACAAGACACACTAGGGTTGGAAATCTCAGGAAACCCATTTATGGGTAAAATATCTAGCTATGAGCGACTATGTCAACTGTTTACTTTGCTTACTCCTATAAAGTACAATCACTCACAGAGAGGCACTCGAGACAGTTAGACACACACATACACAAATGTCTCAAAATGTAGTTTCCACTTAATTCAGTGACACAGGGACAAATAAACATATATTTATACTAAAGGATCCCCAGAACAGATTTATGTAACACCCAGCCGTGGTTTTATGTATGCATTTCTGTATAAAACATAATTCTTCAAAAAATACTTGCTCAGTTGTGATATTATTACACAATTTTGGTACTTTGCTAACTTCATTGTCATGAGAAAAGTTCTTACAGACAAAAAGCGGTATTGCCTCTACTCCTCAACAAAATATGGTTGACAGTCTGAACATTAGAAGGCATGGTTTCAAAATGAAGAAACAAGGTCATTTAATACCAGTTATCTATGCAGTGTCATTACAGAAGCCGTGAAGCGGTTAAGTTACAAACAACTATTGAGTGGAATTCATCTCAGAACATTTCCTTTGGGTTAAAATAGTTTTACCATGACCTTAAGAATAACTACTTTAGATATTTACATTTAGGCTTAAGTCCTTACCACCAAATCTTCAAAGTCCCCGCCCCGATTTGTCCATGTTCTCTTAAGTTAAAATCATGATGAGATGCTTTTAGAACAAGAATTCACTGCAAATTAAATTAAATCTGAATTAGTATTAAGAAAAGGAAAAAAGAGCCAGTTAATGGGCAAGTACTGTTTATTCACTGTCTTGGGTAATTTGAAAATGACCACCCCTATCAGTGGACTTGGGGAGGGGCATGTGCGAAGAAGGGGGAGGGAGGTTGGGACCAGGAGGGGAGGAGGGAGGGGCTTCTGGGGGGGATACAAAGTGAATAAACTGTAATTAATAATAAAAAAAATTTTCAAAAGAAAATACTAGTAAAGTAGGTATGGATAACTTTATTATGAGCAAAAGCTTAAATGCAATGTCAACAGCAAAGGCAACCCAAGGCTTCCCCCTAGCTTAACAGGGTTTGAGGCACATTTATGTTTGTTCCAAATATTATCATATTTTCATCTTAATAACATCACCTTGAAAGAGAAGGAGAGAAAAATCTTGTACCTTAACAGAAGCGAAAGAGGTGTTGTTTCTTCCTAGAGCCTGACTCACAGAGTGGGATTCCTTGAGGATCCTAGGCATGCCAGCCTTTGATGTCTTCTTTCCCAAGGATTTTATCTCTCCACTTGCCCTCTAATTGTACCACAGCAGAACATTAGATAGTGTTGCATCACATCAAAGATTTGGCTTCTAGGAGCTGGGATGAAGGCTCTGGGTTTGAACCCCAGGACTGGAAAAACAAAACCATATTCTGCTCCTAGCAATCATTGATTCCTCTTTTCTTAGTCCCCAGCTTCAGAATCTAAGAATTTCTGAATATTTCAGATCCGGCATCTGTGTCATCTACATTAGCTAGTCATTCAATACTTTATTAGTTTTTTTTCCTCTACCAAAAGGGAGGTCACCTGTAGCTCAAAGGTGCGGTAACACTGAAAACGGGAGTTAAAAGGTGGGTTCTGCATTTACACATTCCCAGAGCCAATTCTCAGACTCCTTCCTCCTATTTGAATTAACCTCAGAGTAAGCCACTTAATTTCTTTAAGGCCCAGTTTTGACATAGGCAAAATAAAGATGAAATTTAGAGATTTCAGTTCTGAATTTGTTGTCAGGGTTAAATAAGATGGTTTCCCATCTTGCTTGTTATCTGGAGAAAATCCGTTCTCCACAATAGAAAATGGAGATGATGATGATGGGGATTATGATGATGAAGAAAATGCAGGAGATCATTTTGGTGCTTCTTCTCCACTATTTCTACATCTAAGCTCACTCCTCTGCTTCTCAGTGTTGTAGTTGCTCTGACCCATTGTTTGCTTAATTTAGGGCAGGCTCAGAGTCTTTGCATGTGGGGGTCTCTCCTGGAAAGATCATTACTTTTACCTTCTTTCCTACAGTTGTAGAAATGGTTGAGTTAAAAAAAATGCAGTTTGCAGCAGTGACACTTAGATGATTTATTAGATTGTTTGAAAACGCAACCGTAATTTCTGGTTTGGCAGATCTGAGTAATGTCTGGAGAAATGAATTTATAAGTTTCCAAGTGATTCTCAGACTTTCATTGTAGGCTAGCAACATAGAGTCAGTGTCTTTTTTATTTTTTTTTACAATTTATTTGTTATATATCCTGAGTAAAACTCCCTCAAAACCTCTCCGTCCCACCCTCCTTCCCTCTTCCCCTCATCTCCTTCCCCTAGTCCACTGAAAGAGGGAGTTCTCCACTATTGCCATCTGCCCAAAACTTATCAAGTCTCATCAGGATTGCCTGGATCCTCTTCCTCTATGGCCTGGTAAGGGCACATTGCCAGGGGCAAGTGATCAAAGAGCAAGCAACCAAGTTCATGACAGAGGCAGCCCATGCTCCCCTTACTCTAGTGCCCACTTGGAGTCTGAGCTGTCTAAGGGCTACATCTGAGTAGGGTATCTAGCTCCTCTCCATGCATGGTCCTTGGTTGGTACATCAGTCTCTGCAGGACCACCTGGGCTCATAAATTTTTAGCTTTGTTGGTCTCTTTATAGGTCCCTTGGTGTCCTTCTATTCCCCTCCCCTTCTTCCATAAGATTCCCTGTGCTCTGCCCAAAGTTTGGCTGTGAGTCTCAGCATCTGCTTTGATCCACCTGTTGGGTGGAGACTTTTAATGATTATATGAGAACCCGAAGAAGGAGGAAATGATGCTCCATGCACTCAACTGATTTTAGGTGGTTGTGTCTGCAAATATTATTAAGAGTTATCTTTTTTTTTTTTTGAAGAAAATAGGTATAGCCTTTATTACAAGAGGAATATCATTTCAATTTTAGTAACAAATGCTTGAAAGCATGTTTATGAATCTGTAAGATGGAATTTTTTTAATTTTTTATTAATTACACTTTATTCATTTTGTATCCCCCATAAGCCCCTCCCTCCTCCCCTCCCGATCCCACCCTCCCTCCCCTTTCTGCATGCATGCCACTCCCCAAGTCCACTGATAGGGGAGGTTCTCCTCTCCTTTCTGATCTTAGTCTATCAGTTCTCATCAAAAGTGGCTGCATTGTCCTCTACTGTGGCCTGGTAAGGCTGCTCCCCCTTCAGGGGGAGGTGATCAAAGAGCAGGCCAATCAGATTATGTCAGAGGCAGTCCCTTTTCCCATTACTATGTAACCCACTTGGACACTGAACTGCCATGGGCTACATCTGAATGTGAGACACAAATCAATGCCAAGTTACATAGATGCCATGGCTTTCCAGAACCGTGAAGGCCACCTCTATAGAGCACCCTAGAGAGACAGTCTATCACTCTGACTATCTGTTTTCATGTTTCAAAACAATGACTGTGATACACTGGCCTACTCTTCAAAAATTTTCACCTTTATATATATATGCTAGTATTTATAATGACCTTTTATCCTCTTATACATTATTTTTTCTTGAAGCCACTTATTTGTTTAACTTTCACACATGCCCAATATACTACTGGTTTTTCAATATCTTCAGCATTTTTGATTATTTCTCACAGAAAAGGCTTTTACTAGTTTATGAAGGCCATTACGTATAAAATAACCTGTGTTGAAAAAGTATGCTTTGTGGTTCAATAAGCTATCTTTGTCGAAGTGACAGCTACACACAGCTTTCTTATATGGGCACAGGATAAAGTCATGCCTCAGCAAAGGCATAAGTCAGTGCTGACCTGTAGGGCCACTTGCAATTATTTGCTAATATATATTCTCCCAGAGAAAG